ACATGTCTGCACATTTGTCCCATCAAGCTCTGGGTGGACCTAACAGTGTCCCTTTACAAAACACCCTTCAAGCAACAGTCTTCTACCTGGCTTATATTAATTCAGTAATTTACAGAATTAAATCAAACTAAGTAGATATAAGCCAGTTGGCACACTTGTTGAACTGTGTCCACAGAGATTTGCACCAGTTTAACTAATTCAATTAATTAAACCAGTGCAAGTTGTGTGTGTAGATCACCCTCCTATCTTAGCGCTAGTCCACAAGGCAGCGCTTTAACGTGCCTTGTGTGGTCATGGCAGAACGCTGGGAGAGAGCTCTAAAAAAAACCACCCCCACAAGGAGCGCGGCTCCCAGCGCTGGGACACTGTTTACACTGGCGCTTTACTGCACTGCAACTTGCTGCGCTCAGGGGTGTGTTTTTTCGCATCCCTGAGCGAGAAAGTTGCAGCGCTGTTAATTGCCAGTGTAGACAAGCCCTTAGATTTACCTTTCAGAACTGATATATCTGGGATTTGCAGGCTTCAATCACTCCCCTCTGATCCATTCCAAACACTGTATCTATTTCAAGTACTGGTACTAACTGGGAAAGTATTCTGCCTCGTGATTTACTGGATGATTTGCAAATAACTATATAATATATATTCATGCAAACAATATTACACATTAGAATTCTATTTCTCCATGCATGTGGGTCAAACTGCTAAATGTAAACCTAACAATGACAGCATAATTTTGTTTTTATAATTTCAAAACACAGTATTCTCATATACCTCAGCAGCTTACAAATGAGAACTAACAGCTGTTTATAACTCAAAACACGTAGTTTTTGCGGTGTCAACAGTACAATACGAAGTATGCCAATTTCACATTTGACAGCATTGCAAAGCACAGCATATTTCCCCTCAATATGCAATAAGCTTAGTGTTCACTATCTTGAGGTGCAATCGAAACCACTGGGAGCACAGCAGTTTAAAGTCATATCCAACGGTAGTTACAATTCACATCACGTAATAAGGCACTAACCCATCCCCAGACCACCTGCAAGAAAAATCAAAACCCTCACACAGCCTAACTCACTTCTATTAAAACACGAGAAGAGAAACGCTTTGCTCTGTGCGCCTGGCAAACTATCAAAGGGGAGAAGAGGGCTTCCCACTAAGCATGCCCTGATTCCCCCAACCCTTCTAGATGTATTCATCTAGAAGTTATCAGTTTGAGTGACTCCAGTGACTAACTGTAGAGGAAAAGGAGAGGTTTCGAAGATGTCCAG